GGCCGTCACAACAGAAGAGTATCCAAAACTCGCTGGACGATTCATGTGCCCTGGCCGCAAGCAGCAGCCATCGCCACAAAATGTCGCTGAAACTCGTTGGCCCAGATTTACAAAAAGGATGACGGCACACAGGAGCGAAATCGGGCGAACGGAGAAGGGCGAGGAAACTGGGCGAACGGACAACCCGAAATACTGAGCAAGCGTAAACAGCAGCGCAAACCCGCGGCAGACCTGCAGATCATCTCAAAGGCCCGAGAATGAATGAGTCACGCTGGAGGCAGAGGGAGCGGAGGGTGACGAGAGCAAGAAGGGCGGAGAGAACGAAACAACACGACAACTGCAACTGAAATTTGGGTGCGAGCGATCACCAATTGGCGGGTTTGGCGACCTAAACCAAAAACAAAATAAAACATTGCCATTTCGTTGACGGCGAATGTTTACTTCCGCCGGCTCCTGCCGGCCTTCCGCCACCATCTGCCCGCGGAGGCGGCATCGTTCTACTTCCGCTGGCTGCCGCCGGCCTTCCGCCGCCTTCCGCCGGGGAAGAATCGTCAACGCTTTCGTTCCTCGACAGCGTGGACCTTTGTGGAGTGAGCCACATGATACCGTGAGGACGGCCCGAACGCGCGAACAACGAACAGGGCGACGATTGGGCAGTGGCAGGCCGTGCCTCGGGACGAGGACGGCCGGCTGCGGCCGCGAAGGAAAACCCACGCACCGCCGCATGAATGCGGCAAGGAAAACAACTACGGCTGGTTCGCGTCGCGCGGGCGTTTGTTTTTGATGCCGCGCGCATCGCTATACATTGAACGATCGCCGATCTCCGATAGCGCAGACCGCTCTCGGCCGATTCTGGGCGATTGGCGGCATTTACTCTTGAGCGCCCGCGCTTGGGCCGCCACAGCGTCAACGCGGCGGAAACGTCACGATGATAATAGTAGCGATGCTGGCGACGATGCTGACAGCGACGACGGGGCAGCCAGTGACGGCGCCGATGCTGATCACGCCAACGACGATGACGGCGTCTTCGCGTCGGTGATGAAGGTTTTGGAAGGAATTCGAAATGCGCGCGCGGCTGACGCGCGAGAGTGGCTCGCATGGAATTATTTGACACGGATCGTGCCCCCCCAGCACGCGCGCAACGGCGTTCGAACGATTTCGACATGCGCACGCGCGAAACCCGTTTGGCAGCATGTTATGAAAATGTTGAAAACGCATGGTTTCTCAAGAATTCGCAAGAGCGCGCGCGCACGCTTTTGTTGAAAATCCGTGTTGCGAAACCCTATATGTTTGTATGTGTTTTGGAAACTCGATGTTTAAATCCTTCCGAAACCGACGGCTTTTGAAGGATTTCGGCATGCGGCATGCGCGCACGACGACGCGCGAGTGCACTTCGTCCCATTTGTTGCAAGGGATTCTTGAAAACTTATGCTTTGTGATAAACAAATGCGCACGCATAATATGTTTTGCCAGGGAACCGAGGGGGGGCCGATACCGGTCTAGCTGGGATCGTATGAATTCACTCGGATGGACATTGGGTCAGAATCACATGTGTTTTGCATCGGTTCCCTTGAGTGGATAAGCCTGGGGGGAGGGTGGTGGAACTATGTCCTAGAAAGGAGAATATACATGTATATAGAAGAATCGGTATGGTGCAACTTATGCGGTGCTGTCTGTGCAATGCAGTATATGTTGTCCACGTTGTGCAATCCAGGTGGTGGAATCTCTGTGGTGCAGTCCATGCTGTGAACTCACTTAGACTGTCTTGAAACTGTCCTCTCCACTGTTCGTGCAAACATCCCACCCTCCCACCTGCAACTTGGTCGCAAGACTTCTTAGGACCGTGACGGTGGGTACCAAATGGCACTTGGCAACGACAGCGACGCCGACGACGACAGCGACAACGACGACGACGACGACGCCAACGACGACTACGACGACACCGACGACGTCTCCGACGACTTCGACGACAACGACGACGACGACAACGACGACGACGGCGACACCGACAACGACGACGACGACGCCGACGTCAGCGACGACGACGACGATGACGACGCCGACGACGACGACGACGGCGACGACGACGCCGACGACGCCGACGTCAACGACGACGACGACGACGCCGACGACGACGACGACGACGGCGACGACGACGCCGACGACGACGAGGACGACGACGACGACGCCAACGCCGACGACGACGACGACGACGACGACGCTGCCGCCGACGACGACGACGACGACGACGAAGACGACGACGGCGACGACGACGACGACGTCGCCAACGAAGACGACGACGACGACGACGAGGGAGGAGGGAGGACGACGACGGCGACAACGACGACAACGACGAGGGAGGAGGGAGGGCGGCGACGACGCGAACGACGAAGAAGGAGGGAGGACGGCGACGCCGACGACGACAACGACGAGGGAGGAGGGAAAACGACGACGACGACGACGACGACGACGACGACGACGGCGACAAAATAGGAGGGACGACGACGACGACGAGGGAGGAGGACGACCACGGCGACAACGACGACGGAAACGACGACGACGACGACGCCAAAGAGGACGACGACGACGACGACGGCGACGAGGAAAAACAGAGGACGACGACGGCGACGACGACGACGAGGGAGGAGGGAGGACGGCGGCGACGACGAAGACGACGACGACGCAAGAGCGCGCGCGCACGCTTTTCTTGAAAATCCGTGTTGCGAAACCCCGAAACCGAAGGTTTTGAAGGACTTCGGCATGCGCGCGCGACGACGCGCGCGCGTGCATTTCGTCTCATTTCTTGCAGAGGATTCTCGCGACGGCACGCGCGCAAGGGCGTTCGAACGATTTCGACATGCGCGCGCGAAACCCGTTTGGTAGCATTGAAAATCTTGAAAAACCGATGGTGTTCTCAAGATTTCGCAAGAGCGCACGTGTAAGCTTGTTTCGAAAATCTGTGTTGCGAAACCCTGTGTTTTTGTGTGTTTTGGAAATTCGATTTTGAAATCCTTCTGGAACCTGCGACTTGTGAAGGCCTTCGGCATGCGCGCGCGACGACGCGCGCGTGTGCACTTCGTCATATTTGTTGCAAGGAATTTTTGAAAACTGATGACTTTTGATAAACGGGTGTGCGCGCATAGCATTTTCTGCAGAAGATGACGGGGGGGGGCCGATACCGGCCCCCCTGAGATAGTGCAAATTCATATTTAGGATGGACGATGGGGCAGAATCCTATGTGTTTTGCATCGGTTCCCGGGAGGGTGGTAGAACCTATTTTCTTTTTAGAAAGGGGAATCTACGGCGCAACGAGGCAGCGACGGGGCGGCGCACTAGCAACACAGCCGCCAGACCGACAGGCAGGCCCAGACGACGGGCGGCGACGAGACAGCGTCTGGGCGGTGACGGCGGCAACATAGCCGCCAGACCGACAGGCAGGCCCAGACGACGGGCGGCGACGAGGTAGCGACGGGGCGGCGACGGCGGCAGCATTGTCGCCAGACCGACAGACAGGCCCAGACGACGGGCGGCGACGAGGCGGCCACGGGGCGGCGACGGCGGCTACATAGCCGCCAGACCGACCGTGAGGCCCAGCTGCTCACCCCAGAAGTAAGAACCTCTACGTGCAAGCGCTGCTTGGGGAACAAGTCGGAAAACCTACGTGCAAAAACTTGTGAGGGAATGATGAATACGTCGCTCCTCTCCCCCGGACTCCAGGAGATGGCTGGCCCTCTCCACGCACTGTGCTTGAATTACAGGATGTGGCTCTTCACGATCCGATGATTTTCGGATCGGCACTTTGCTCCCGTCGTTCAGAACGGCGCTCTCGCCGTAGCGCGGGCCACGTTTTTCTGGATCCGAGTCCTTCTCATCGCTGTCGACCCCCTCCGTGCCCCATCCTCCGCCTTCCCCGGGACCTCCTGATCCTGCTCAGCCTGCGCCTTCCACTCCAGCTCCTGCTGTACGGCCTCGTCAGCGTCCGTCCTTATCCTCCGCCTGCTCATCCTGTTCATCATCCTGCTCATCCGCCACTTCCTCCTCCTCCTCCTCCTCAAATGTATGCAGCTCCCTTGTTGCCTGGTTGCGCAGACCACGATGGGGTCCTCTGTGGAGTCCCAGGTCCGCTATGACACGCATTGGCGGATAAAAAGAAAAGCATCGCAATGGGAAGGGCTGGGTGACAAGGGTAGGATGTCGGATACGTGGTCCGAGCTCACCTAGCTATCAAGCTTGACACAACCCCATCTCTCCCCTCTTCCCCTACCCCATAACCTGAATGTCTGGACCTCAGTCCCTAGAAATCGCCAGAAAGACCTCCACCATCGCTGGGGGAAGAAAACATTGCAGAAGCACAAAAGGTTCGGAACTCCGCGCTGAGTTCCTGAATCCACGCTGGACAGGCCTCCCTGGCGCGCGGAGCGCACCCGAAGCGGCGCCTGATTCGCCACCAGGGGGCACAGCGCAGATCCGTGAAATCCGCGCGGAACCCCAAAAGCGTATGTCTATGCCGTGTGTTGTTCCTCTGGTCTCGAGGCTCGAGCCTCGCCCTGGCGGGCAGCGCGAGGGCAGAAAAGCGAGGGCCAGCGGCAAGAGCGGTCCTAGTCCTCATGCTCCTCATTCTCCTCGTACTCCTCATCCTCCTCCTCCTCCTCCTCCTCCTCCTCCTCCGCGGTCTCCTCCTCCTCCTCGTCCTCCTCCTCCTCCTCATCCTCCTCCGCCTCTTGATCATCAGCACCATCACCATCACCATCACCAGCATCACCATCATCATCATCATCATCATCATCATCATCATCATCATCATCATCATCATCAGCATCATCATCATCATCATCATCATCATCATCATCATCATCAACATCATCATCATCATCATCATCATCAGCAGCAGCAGCAGCATCAGCATCATCATCATCATCAGCAGCAGCATCATCATCATCAGCATCATCGTCAGCATCATCATTATCATCATCATCATCATCAGCAGCATCATCAGTAGC